GAAGAATATCGATTTTGGTGTAGAAACAGGGAAGTTTAGACTTCCAATAGCTACTGAGGCAAACAAAAATATATAGAATGCTCAGTCATGTTTTTAAAAACTATTTACCAGAGAAGGTTAAGTGAGTTATAATAATATCTCCCTGAGATCACTTGAGGTGGTGAGTCACAGTCCTTGTGCCAAAGCTGAGTGGTTTACCAAGAAAGAGAGCTAGGAAAATACCAGGACTCCTCCTGCTCCAGGCTATATAATTCTTAAGCAGATGTAGATGCTAAAGCCTCTGCTTAAGTACAGAATCTATTTGATTTTGAATAGAGTATCAACTGTTGGCCCTTCAAAAATCAGTCTGTGGCAACCATGTCTACAAAACTGCCTTGGATTTTATAGAACAAGCTCTCATGTCTTAATGATTGAGATCAGCATAATTAGTATGGAGATTTCTGAGAAAATTTGAAATGGAACCACCATTTGACCCTGCTATTCTACTCCTCATTTTAAACCCAAAAGAATTAAAATCAGTATACGACAGTGATGTAGCCACATCAATGTATTTAGCAGCGCAACTCACAAGAGCTAAACTATGGAACCAAAATCTAGGTGTCCTTCAACAGATGAATGGATAAAGAAAATGTAGTAGTACATATATGCAATAGAATATTTCTCAGCCTTAAAGAAGAATGAAATTATAGCATTCACAGGTAAATGGATGGAGCTGGAGAATATCATGTTAAGCAAAATAAGCCAATCCCCAAAAGCCAAAGGCCAAATGTTTTCTCTGATATTCGGATGCTAATTTACAACAAGTGTGTTGGGGGAGCTAAGAAAGAATAGAGGTACTTTGGATTAGGCAGAGGGGAGTGAAGGAAAAGTAGGCAATGTAGGGCTATGATGGATAGTAGAATGAATTGTGCATATCTGACTACATGACCAGCGTGATCCTACATCATGGACAACCAGAAGAATGAGAAGTCATGAGAAGTCATGTATAACTGATTAGAACAAAAACAAATAAATATACTTCTCCTCTTAAACTATAAAGAAGGTTTTAAGAATAATTGTAAAAGGGGAATAAAGGGAAGGGAAGGGAAATGGGAGAGAAAAAAGAGATTGGCATAATTGGAAATGACTGAGCTTCCCTTTTTCTCTATTTTTGGATAAGTCTAGTTCCCCACATTTGGGTAATGAGAAAGGAACAAACCAGGCAAGAGGGCATTTCAGTAAAATAGCTCTGATGTACAACGTGCAGTCTATGATCCTTTGCATCCCCTTCCCATCTCCTACCTAAAGCATTCATTTTCAATTGCCAATGTTAATACATTCCAACCTCGACTAGCTAAGGTGCATAAGGATTATAACCTTAACAATAAATTCAGAATAAAAAAAAAGTGCAATGCAAGATTTAATTTTCAGATCCCATGAATTTCTATTGATTTCGGAGTACACAGGCACTAGTCGTGAGGAAGTAATCTGAAATTTATATCAAGGATGCCTGTTTCCATGCCTTTGTTACAAAGCAGTTACACTGAAGAAAAATAGGTAACACTGTGGATGAGAGAACTCATGAGAATCTTCCTAGAAAATGTTATTTTCCTAAAATCAGTTTTAAATGTGAGAATAAAAGATAGTGATAACCTGGTAAAGCTATGAACTTATATACTTTCAAAAAATCATAAGTGAAGCCATGAAGAGGTAAAAAGAATCATATTCAAAATGATCTTACAAGAAAACTAGCCTAAGAGGAAAAGTTCTTCTTATAATTTTATCTTAGAATGTACCCTGCAGGCTTCCAATTTTCAATTATTAGAGTTAAAAAAGAAAAACTAAAAGAACTAGTGAAAAAAAAAATTCGTTTTACCCACAGTTACATCATTGAATATTTCCATGTGTGTCTGCTTTTTAAAGTCAAACTAGAATTCAACTAGAAGAGTGAATTTAGATGATCAAAGAAGGAAGAATTATATAAATAATTGCTTAAAAATTTATTTACTTGATTTCCTCTATAATATCTAATTCCAGCACTTTGACTTGAAGATCAAGGGCCAAATGGAATGAAAATCAGAAGCAAATGAGCAATGATACTGTCTTACTCATCAGATTGAGAACTCACAGATGCAAAACATAGTCCCCACACTTGCAAGAAGATATATAAAATAATGCACACAGAAACCTAACAATTGCTCCTGAGATTTTCTGTAGTTCAATATGGTCGGTCCATGATGAAGTGGAGAAGGCCAAAGTCCAGGAGGGAGTTTGCCTTAAATAAGTGATGGAAAGTGGTCCTGAGGTACTTTAGAGTGTAAGACTTTGAACACATCAACCCAGACACAATGCAAACTGCAAAAACACAGGGCATATCACTGTTTTCTGTTTTTGTTTTGTTTGTTTTTTTTTGTTTTTAGTTGTATATGGACACAATACCTTTATTTTTTTTAATTTTTTTATATGGTGTAGAGGATCGAATCCCAGTGCTTCCCACATGCAGGCAAGTGCTCCACAACTGAGCTACAACCTCAGCCTATATGTCACTGTTTTTGTTGAAAAAATAAATTTGCCTTAAATAATTATACATTAGTAGATGCCTAAATTTGAAAAAAAAAAGATTTATTATGTTATTTTTGAAAGGCATTCTTCCCTTTCAGTAGTCTTTATTGAAAAACATAATAATGTCTCTGAGTAGTTTGCTCTTTTGGTTTATAGAATCCTTTGTACTGTAAAATGAAAAAAAATTTAAAAAAACCACACATGCGATATTAAATTTGCATCAAGTTGTGAATAATTGTAGATTTTTGGTATCATTCTTGGACCATACATCAGGATAAAAGTTCTGATCTTGATACTCCATAGTCTCCATTTTCTATTAAAAAATTAAAAATAATTAATCAAAATGACATGTGCAGATTTATCTCTCTGGTGACTAATGTGTTAAGTTTTATGAAAGTTCAACATTAACTAATGTATTTCCCCATACTTTTCATTTTTTTAAATTTGGGTATATGAAATGAAATTAGAATATAAAAATTTCCATCTATCCATTACACAGCTTCAGCAAGAAACATACTGAATCTGTGCCTCATTCACTATATAAATATCCCATGTTCTATATGATTTGCCCTACTCCCCAAATCCCTGTGGAGGGAAAAAATGCAAAACATCATATGAGATTAGCTGTGATTGGTGATATCCCTTCTCATATAGGAAGATGAGCACTTTTAAAAGTAGCTACCACTAAGAAAGTGGAAAAAATGCTAGTTTAAACCCCAGACTGGTCCCCCACAGGGTGGTATCTAGAATACTCTTTGGATTCAATCTCTTTTATATTTCCTATAGAATTAATCTGCAGAGGTCTCTGTTATCACTTCTGAGGCTCCTATCTATATATGTTACCCTAATGTCCTTTCCTCAATGAAGTGCTAGTGGATTTGCCAAGATGGTCAGCCAGAAAAGAGTCTATAAAGTTCATACTTCTATTGCCAGAACCACACACCCTCTCACCAAACTCTTTGTATTCTCTATGTAATGGCTCAGAGAGGTTCTAGGAATATAAACAACCACTGTTATGGATCACCTTATGCCTTGTGGCGAACAGTCAGGGGATCATTTAATCTTTAGTGTATTTGAAGTTTATTCAGGAAACATCATCATGTGCTTAGTCTGTTTCATTGATCAACTACTTTCTTCAATATTTTCTTAATTTTTTTTAAATTTTTTTGGTACTGGAGATTGAACCCAGTGGTGCTTAAGCACTGAGCCACATCCCCAACCCTTTTTGTGTGTTGACATATGGTCTTACATAGTTGCTTAGAGTCTCTCTAAATGGCTGATGCTGGCTTTGAACTTGTGATCCTCCTGCTTCAGCTTCCTGAGTGACTGATATTACAGGTGTGAGCCACCACACATGGCTTGATTCTTTAATTTTCTTCTTGCATTCACTAGAATTCTATCAGTGTTGAAGTCTGGATGGATATTTGTATATCCAGGCAGGATTCAATGAATGCTTTTAAGTAGCCAGCTTAAGTCCCCTTTTCTATGTTTGCCAACAAGGTTGACTGAGCCCAGGACCTTCTCCAACCAGGGTCACACCTAAGTGCATTCTGAATCATGCTACTTCTGCCAATGATGTTCCCCTTGACATTATTCTTGGTTTTCTTTTGTGTGGAATGAGGAATGCCCAGTGTAGGTGCTTAATAATGTTTATCTCCAAGTTCAGATCTATGTTAGTCAGTTCTTCACTGCTATGACCAAAATGCCTGAAAAGGGCAACTTAGAGAAGGAAAAGTTTATTTGGGGCTCACAATTTCTAAGGTTCAGTCCATGGATGGCCAATTCTGGGCCGAGGTGAGGCTTCTGAGCATCATGGCAGAAGGACACAGTGGAGAACAACTACTCAATTCATGACAACCAGGAAACAGAAAAAGAGATAGAGGAGCCAGGGACAGTAATATAGTCCAAGGACACATACCAAGTGATGGACCTCCATCAGTTACACCCCACCTGCATAGACTTACCACCCAGTAGTCCATTCAGATACCAATGGATTAATCCACTGATGAAGGAGCTCTAATCAGTACCTAACAGCCCCACCTCTGAACCTTGCTGTATTGGAGACGATGCTTCCAAAATATGTGCTTTTTGTGGTACATTTCTAGATACAAACCATAAAAGGATCTTTCCAAATTGATACATTTCTACTTCTAAAATTCTCTATATGGAATACTCAGAAGTGAACTAATAAGGAGTCAATGTTAATGGGCATACTTATGAACAGAGTACCCAGAGCTGCCTTATATAATACCTACCGTATGATAGTTATTCAATCATTACCCATTAGGGAAAAATGTAAATGAAAATTTTAGCTGTTTTGTCCTTTTAAAAATATAGATGGCCCTCAACGTATGATGGTTCAACTTCTGAATATTTGACTTTACAATGGAGTGAAAGCAATAGACATTCAATGGAAACTATATTTCACATCTTGAATTTTGATATTTTTCTAGGCTGGCAATATCCCCTATGATACTGTCTTACTCTCTCATGATGCTAGACAATAGAAGCATCTCCGATTTTTACTGAATGTTAATATGAAGTTTAATGTTCCAGCATGTCTTCTGCTGTGTACATTAATGGTGAGTACCTAGGCAACTATTCTGTTTTTCATTTTAAGTACAATATTCAAAATAAATTGCATGAGAAATTTAATACTTTTAAAATAAGCTTCATGTTAGCTAATTTTGCCTATATGTAATCTAATATAAGTGTTCTGAGCATGTTTAATGTACCTTAGGCTAAGTTAAAATGTTCAGTAGGTTAGGAGTATTACATGGATTTCTTGATTGGTGATATTTTCAATTTCTGATGAGTTTATTGTATGTAACCCCATAGAAAATTGAGGAGCATCTGTATACTTTCTTGAAAAATGTATAAAATACACAGCATATGTGTTTCTATGTTAAAATTGCACAGAGAAAATGTCCTTTCCTAACCTCTCCACCATAGTTACCCACAATCTAGACACATTAAATAGTTTGCAGTTTCCAGAGATTATCTGATATTTTTGACGATCTATGCTTTTGCAAATTCTATCCTCTTTTAAAAACTCCTAACATGCTCCATGTCTTACCTACCTATTTCTTAATGATCCCAGCTCAACAAACATTTATTAAATGTTTACAGGCATGGTGAATCACAGCACAGTTGAGAAATGTTTACACTCCTGAAAGAATTGCAGCTAAGCCAGAGAGACAGACATAAAAACAAAATCTGTAATGTGAGATGATGCATATGATGAACCTTCATCTAGATATTGTATGATAGTGGAATGAAGAAGGAAATTTCAACCTTTTTTTTTAAGAACAACTAAACATCAGCCAGGTAGATCATTGTTGGAGAAAGGGCATCACAGATATGAGGCATAGCATGTGCAAAGGCAGAGAGACCAGAAATAGCATGGCACATTTAAGATCCCCGTTAGCTTACTATGGTGGAAGCACTAAATGACATTGTTCGTTGTTTTTAAAGAATGTGAATATTGGTAGAGGCCAGATATGGATTTCCTCCTGTATTGTACTGATGGCTCTGGAGTTCATCCTACATATGAGAGCTCCTTGAAGGTTTTCAAAGTTGGATCTAGTTTTCACATAGATCTATACAGATAATATAATTATATGTGGGTTAGACAGGAATTTGAGAATTTGGGGGGAAAACTATATGTGAGATGATTAGTTTAAGGTGACTTTATCCAAAAGCTTTTTCTCTTCTTGTCTGAATTGTGTAAGATGGTCATAAAAGTTCTAATCCCAACCAGGAGTTTTTCTAGGGTAATTGGGTGCCAACATAATTACCCCAAAACAACAGAAATAAACCAAATCAGTCCTAGACAAACTGGGACATGAGTGCTCTTAAATTTAGGCTCCTTCATGTGCTCCAATAAATCTATTTGCTAAATGATCATATTCTTGTGCTTTGGAGTTGTTACTCTTTTTGCTCATCTCCCTCCCAAACTGTGTGTGGTCATCAAAGCAGAGTTGTCTCTCACTTCATTTCTGGCTTGTACCACCTAACAGAAGGCTCTCAATAGGTATTTTAGATTGAATATGACTGACAGAGAATGAATTAAATAGAAATTCAAATTAGGAGAAATGGCATTGGATTGTGTGAGACTGAAAGATAATTCATCATGGGGGATATTTACACTGGACTACAAAATCCATTCACTAAATGACCTTAACCTCTCCCAGACCTCTGTTTCCTATCTTTGAAATGGTAATAGGTTTGGCAGACTTTCCATATAACGCAAAACATCAAGTGAGACAATAAGTGGGAAAAGAGTGTGGTGGAGATACTTGGTTTTGTTCCTATTTTCCATCCATTATATTACCATAACTTTGATTCTTTATTTTATTCTCCATAGACATTGATACAAATGTAGGTCTAAATATTAAAAATAAGAAAAGGCTTTGGGAATGTTTTATTATTTTCCATTTTGTTCTTCACTTCCCTACAATTTAGGAGTTGGTAAACCTGGCCAGAATGCCTTCAATGTTCTCACAACTTTGGAAAATATTAATTCTAAAATCTCCAGTAGCTTAGTTTTCTTTTCATTGTCATCTATTTAACCCAAACTACAAACTAATGGGATTATTACTGCCATGTCTCACCAGAATTCTGCTTCACAAATAAAGCATTTGACTTGCAAGGAAGACTACATATGCTGATCCCTGCTGTGCTTGCAGACTTTGAGAAACAAAGGTCCCTTATCGTGCCAATTAGTTATTACTGCTTTTGGAGAACATTTTTGTAATGTTAGTTTTGGGTAGGGTAATTAGATTTATAAAACCCTGATGTGGCTTGAATTTGATGGGCTTGATGAGGTTATTTTTAATGTTGAATCTATTTCAAACAGGGATAGAAAAAATGTGCATTCATTTAAAGCAAAACACTAATTTAGAGTATAGAGATACCTTTTAAAATACCCTTATTTGATGTTTTTTTCATGGCCAAGGATTATTTTAGCTGATAATTTACCCTACTAAATTAGACAACCTTTAATCTTGGATCTATTAAGAGATAAACTTTGGCACATTGAAATTTTAAGGACGTCGTTGGAGCAATTAGTGATACAGGCAACACTACACTACAAGATAGTGGACACAGAATGTATGGTGGGGAGACTGACAGTAATCTTGCTTTGTGAAAGTAAGACAAAGAGAATAAACTGGACTGGCTAAAATGGAAAATTTCTAATTAAAGTTTTGTTGGCAGTTTCTCTTTGGGTAAGTTTTTTTCATCATTTACACTGGGCTTCAATTTGCTTAGGTAGGAACCTAAGGTGCCAGAACCATCTCGAACGAAATGGCCTCCCAGTTAAATTAAAAAAAAAAAAAAAAGATCGTTTGCTTATTTTGGTGATTAAACTTATTTAGAGGGTTAGCCACGTTCCCATATCTTATGAGCCAACTAATGATTACACAGGAATCATGATGGAATAACAACAAAATATGCCTTATATGGTGTTGCTTGTTGTTGATTTCAGTAATAGCTTTTCCCATTTCCTTAGACTTCTACCTTTCACATTTAGGGACTAACCATCTTCCTATCTTGTTGTGGTTAGTTGAAAATGAGGCTCCCCAAATCTTGCACCTCTGTTTCTCTCTTCCCAATTATCACTCGTGTGTGTTGAGGATAATTGTCAGACACTCTCCGAAACTGGGGAAGAACTGAGTATAATCGAACTATTATTTACTAGGACAGAGGCCAGGTTGGAGATTGTGCTCAGTTTTAGAAAAATAGCAAAACTGTCCTGAGATTATTGCCAAGGAGGTAACTAGCTCTAAGCCTCTAAAAGCTTTGCTGTCTGCCAATCTGTTATTAAAGACGAAATGGTCTGGCTCAAAGAATCCTCATAAACTTCAAAGACAACACGAATCTTTGCTGATTCTGTGGCATTAGAGAAGAGGATTAGGTCCTCAAACTCTTCCTCCTCTCAGAGAACTAAAGATGTGTAAAAGCCTTAAAATCCTCTGTGACAGTTCACAGCACTGGTCAGGAGAGGAAAAGAAGAAAGAGAGGAACAATTTCAAAAGCACCCTTTTAAAAAAGTCCATGTATGCCAAAGCGCTTGGATATTCATCTCCAAGTTGCACAATTTATTTAACTTATAGGCAGAGAGGTGTGGTGGAGGGTGGTAGATACATTAATTGATGCTCTGTCTACTAACCAGCAGTGACTGAATACTTATATTGAAGAATACCTTGCACTCCCTGGGAAGAATCACATGAAATCAAAGACTTAGTCTCTGACCTCATAAAGCTTATGATCATATGCACACATACACAGTTCAAGGCAAAAATTAATTTATGGTCAAGTTGTCTCATATTTAAATGATTTGCCTTAAATGGAAGTGTAGATGTGGAAAATCACTATGTTCAGCCAATAGACTCACTAGGAAAGAGAACAAGATTGCAATCTCTGAAATCTTTATTCTGGTCTTGACTCTGTCCCAAAGTAGCTCCATGAGTTTGTGCCAACATAATTTTTCCTTGCCCTCAAATTATCATGTACAGCACATAGATTGTAGTTTTGCTTCCTTTCAATTCAAAATATGTGTGATTCATAATGCCAGAGTACTATCAATCAATATCCAGACTATCATTTTTCACTAAGTTCTTTTTATACCATTGAAAACTACATACTACATTAGGACTAATTATGGGAGGTAGACTATTCCTTTACAGAATCACTTTAGCATCCCCTTGTGTTCCACAATATTCCAAGTTTCTTATGTTTTAATTGGTGTTAATGTTTAAAATTCCTGATCTCAAAATAACTGGGCAAATATATCATAATGTAGTCCTCAAATTTTTTTAGATAAAATAGGAACAAGGGATTCCAAGGAGAGATGACCTTCAATTTAATCTCTGTTTATGCAACATTTTAATATTTTAAATTGAATATCTTCATCTTCTATTACCATGTGTGAAACCAGACGCCTCCTTTTAAATAGAAAACTGCTTTGGAATCCTGTTTGCAGGCTGTAGATGCTGATTAGCTCTCGGTGAAAGAATTTTTGTTTCAAGTATAATAAAAAATGCTTATCGTAACTAATGAGAACTCCCATGTGGAAATGATAAAGATCCCTGTTACATTCAGTCCAGAGGCTGCCCAGAGCCCAGGCTGTGTCCTCTGAAGTCTGTGTTTGATATTCTGGGCTGAAGCTTGTAGTAATTTAAACAAAGTGTTGGGAATGATCTCAGCCATGCTAACACAAATGAGTTTAATTGAAACATTTGGTTATAGGGCAAAAGCAAATCAAATATTGTGAGATGTTTCAATTTATAGTCATTGGTTCTCTTGAAAGAAAGGTTTCACATGCAATAATTTCATTCTGTGTTTCATTTGCTTCTCAGAGCTCTTAGAAAAGCCAATTCATGTCTGGTGTCTTTGCTTTCGTAAGGGGGTAATTAAATGTTACTGTGGTATAAAATGCATGCATCATTTTTCCATAGTAAATGATAAATTGAGTTTTGCATGGGGCAAAATTTCTTTAGTGGTGGTCCACAACCACAAAATGATGGTTCAGTCCATGGTGGATCACATAAACACAGAAGATAGCAATGAGGCTCAAAAATCTGTATCACCTACTATTTTTCTAGTACCTTTCTATACCATATAGCCAAGGTGTCCAGCAGGATATTGTATCTAATTTTGCATAAGCACTATCTTAGGATGTTTGCACAGTGATGAAATCAACTAATGATATATTTCTCAACACATTACCATCAATTACTGATTAATGAGTGTAGTTCTACTTATTTTTTATGTAAAAAAGATGACAAAACTTTTTAGTAACTAGAATGTTTTTACATTTACAGGTGTGGTTATGATTGCTAAGTTATTTAGCATAATCAGTCAGACACATCCCAACAGAGAAGATAACTTTAAAAATCAAAGCGATCAATACCTGAAGTTGTGCAAGATAATTAAGTACTGGAGATCAGTTGTACAACAGCCTAACTATGGTTAACATTACTGGGCCATACATTTAGACAACTTGGTGTTCTTACAATAGCATCAACAACAACAATAATAACAACAATAACAACATCAATAACAACAATAATAATGATAATAACAACAGAAAAGAGTATATTAGGCAGTCTAATGGAACTACTGAAGAATATAACAATGTGTCATCATGAATAATAAACTAAAAAAATGCATACATGGATTACAGGTAAGATTTTAAAAGTTTCAAATATTTTCCTAATCAAAATGGTTATTCACATTACTTTAATATTACACATATTGTAAATTATGTTTGTAAGTAATTTTTAACAATTGTAATATTTTAATATGTGAAAATATTTTCAATCAAATAAAAGATCAAGTGTAAAATATAGTGTGCAATAAGGACACCTTTAATAAGAACATTTTAAATGTCAAAGTCTTTACATATTTCAACTTTCTGCAACTTGATACTTTATGTGTATGAAGTTAAAACCTTTGGTAGAAAATATTAGTTTTATTAAGCCTCATAGTACGTATTTCTGGCTTAAAATATTCATACATAGCCACTATGGATTAAAGAAAGTAATCACAATAAGCAACAAAAAGATAATAAATAAATGGTAAAACAATTGTTTCATATTTAGTGTTTTCCAATAGCTAGTGTGTAAAAATCAGACATTGACAGAAATTATAGCTTATGATTGCACATTACTTTTAAAAATATAAAATGTAATTATTCAAATGTTTGCTATAAAAATATTTTGTTAAGATAGCCTTTGAACATGAATGTTAAGAAATAGATTGGGTTTTGTTGTTGTTGTTAAAATTGATTTGTTATAAATAAAATACTTCTGAATATTTTTAAAAGTGCTAAACTAAACCAATTACAATCATTTAAATCAGATTCAATGAACTTAAGTCAATTTCTTTAAAAAATCAACTTATTAATTTACAGAAATTAACAGTTGACAGAGAGGGTGGAGATTTGCTAAAAAAAATTCTGGGTGGGACTAAAAATAAGAACCGTTTCGATGTTAACATGTGAGTTCCATGGGTCCCAAACCTACATCTGTCTTGTTCACAGATAGACCTTCAGGACCTTGGACAGGTCTTGAATTAGAGTTCCTCAATAAATATGTTATCACAAGGTTAGCAGAATAAATATAGGACACCCACTTAAAGTTGGATTCCAGATTAACCCCCAAATTTATCTTCCTTTAGTATATTTCCTGTTCAATATTTGGGAAATGCCTAAATGTTAAAGTATTATTTGTTGTTTTTCTGAAATGTAAGCGTATTTATAGCTCATGTGCTAACTCTGACAGTGCTGTCACAGGATTTTTTGATGTTGCCTGGGGTGTTTAAAATTATCTAGAGTAGTGCTTTTCAAGGTCTGGCTTTGAATTGTGGTAATTGGTTAACATGACCAAAGAGTTTTAAAGTAAAATGTCAAGGTCCCATCTTGTCATAGTTTTTTTTTACTTGGCTTCATATGGAACCAAGCATGTCTAGTATGCTGAATATTAGTGATTCTAATGCATAGCTGAGGATGCAAGAACATGTTTATTTCAACTTTTGCATTTGGACAAAGAAGGAAGCTCAAAATAGGTGACAGACAGACCAGAATTCACAAAGCTAGAGACCATTATGATTCCATTCTTAAGAATATACAAAGAATAAACTTACATTTATGCATCAAAGAAAAGGTATCTAATCTAGCACATTGATCTATGTGCATCCAAGGGCAAGGATCTGGGTCTTGTCTCAGAGAGGGCACATGTATTTGAGAAAAAAAAAAACAAGTAAAATAAGGAGATGAGATTAAGTATCCTATAGCTCTGACAAGATATCCTGGATTTTAAGGGTCCCTTCCAGAAATGTATCCTTGATAGCTCTTCAGGGTTTAAACTCTGCATCAGAAAGAAATTCCAGCTTCAGTTTTGAAAAGTGCTTCTCTTTGAAAAATATCCCTCCATGAAATACCAACCTTTAGACTGGCAACCTAGAATGGCCTCTTGATACGCTAATGAGAAAGTTGGAATGAGCACAGATATCCCAAGTAGAAGTGCCAGTTAATTCAAAAAGCACACTTAGAAGGAAAAAAGTCTCTGCTGTGATATCTACAGAATTTTTTTCTCTTGTTAGGAAAAAAAAGGAAAGGAGGAAGAGAAGGAAGGAAGGGAATGAGTAAACAGGAGGAGGGGAGAAGACCCAGCGCTCTTCCTATATATCCAACTCAACTTTTTTTCATTTCAAGGCTTGGATCTAGAAATATGATTCTCACCTTTCCTCTGAAATCATGCTTCTGTTTGCCTATTCTCTATCTATAGTGAAATCCTTTCTCTAGAACCAATATATTTTAATGCCTTATGTCTTATTATCCTATATAGAGGACACTTATAAAAGCCTATAAAATTCTACAAGACACATATAATTTTGCTCAAGTTAGGTTTTTATATGTATTTTATATGTGAGATTTTGGAATACAATGGTCTAAATCCCTAAATTTGTGGTTACTTACAATTTTGAATGAATACAAGTATTTGTTTCAGAGTATCAAGTTAGTTCTATTTGTATATAAGCTGTAAGTTAGTTCCATTTGTACAACTCCTGAATGGTTACAAGTTTCAACTCAATTTGGCTAGGCCTCCAACCCCTAAATTCCTAAGAATCTATTACCAAAAAAAATCCTCTTTTTATTTCTATGCATTTCCAATCACAAAAAAATGGTGATGACTATTATAAAAGGAGAAGTTAATTGTTAGTGTCCATCTATAAATTAAGTAGAGAATTTGGAGCAGAATACAATGCTTTGGAAAACTAGACAAAATGTCAAGCACATGAAATTATCAAGTAAAAGTATAAGTAATAATGTTTCATATCCATATGGGATGAAATTGTGATTTCCTAGACATAAAACTCCACATGGAGTTGAATATTCATAATTAGAGTTGTTAACTCAAGGATGAGTCATAAATCTTTTATATTATGATTTACATGTATTTTATATACACCCGTATATAATATAACAGAACACACAAACACACACATACACACACACACACACACACACACACATATATATATATATATATATATACATCCCTAGGTCAATGGACTAGGAGTCTTCCAAAATAAACTCTCTCTTCTTTTAGAATTGGATGTTGGGAGCTTCCCTCAAAATACCCACCCCTAAGTCCTGAGAAAGAGATACTGAACAATTATTGTTCCCCCACAATAACTTGGGCTTTACCTCCACTGGGATAAAGAGGCATAGTTCCAGGAGCCGGTGTTACCCGGTGGGGTTGAGTTACACTCACCTATTCCTTTGTAATCCTACCCTTTGCTTCATTTGAATGGTTTCTCCCCAATAAAACAGGGTTCCAGGCATGCTCTTCCTCTTTCTTGCCTGCCTTGCCTCCTTTGTGGGAGCTGGGTCAGAGGAGCTGTCACAGAACCCAAAGAAAAAGGTATTTCTCTGTTTCTGTATAATTATTTCATGCTAGCCCAGTTCACCTGGAGTGACCCTGACTGGTTTAGTCATGTGTCACAGCACTTGGATATGAAATCTCAAAAAAAAAAAAAAAATCAACTTTACTCCTACCATTTCATGTAAAATTTCCTGTAAGGCCAGTTTCAAGTGCATCTTATACATGCTATCTGAACTGAATTTAAAACAACCAATATCATTCTCATTTATTGGTAATTATATATGCATGCCCTTATTATAGCTCGTCTTCTGTTATTTAACCTTAAGTATTTGTATTTCCTTTCTCCAGCTGTGCCTTGAAAGATATAAGCTTTGAGTTGTCCAATGCAGAACTTTCTTCCTACAGAATTTTCTGAAGAGAAGGAACTGTTTTAAATCTGCATCATGTATGATATCCTGTATTATATCTGTTGGGAACAGGTAGCTATTGAACATTTGACAAATGATTAGAGCAACTTAATGCTGGGAGCCATAGCCAAGTCCAAATAATGCATGGCATTTTTGCCAGAACACAGTGGTTGAGAGGTGATGCCAGCAAGCCATTGAGATGATAATGGTTATGGTAAGCTGTGTATATTAGACCCCTGCTGTCCACCTTGGCCTGCTACTTTGGAGTTCTCATGGGGATTCCCGGAAAGTTCCCATTGGTTGTGGAAGTGCCAGAGGCGGGATTTTCCGGTTGGTGGTTGCTGAAGGAGCCGCATGGGTGGCGTTTGGGAGAGCTCCCTGGGAACATGTGTGGAGTGTGCTGGTGGAGTTCAGAAATAAAGTTTGTTCCTGCTTCAGTGGCTCTTGATTTGTGCCCAGCCAGACTGTGGCAACTTAACAATTTAATTTTTATTTTAATATTACTCTAAATAACTCTAAATAAGCTCAATGCTTAATAGTTATCATATTAGACAATCCAGCTCTAGAACACCTAACATGGTCTTCTGAACACAGCTGGTATTGATTTTTTCTCCTTTCCCTGCAAAGGAAAGTCTCCCCTAGTTATTTCCCAAGTTTTAATGAACTCTATTTGAAAATTCCATATCATTTGTTAGTGAATTTCTCTCTGCACTTTTAAGTGGCTTGCCTTCTAATTCCCTGAGCAATTTAGAAAAAATGTCTTACTTTTTAAAGAGTATTCTACAGTATTAAACTCTAAATTTTTCACTATGTAAGATGATCTGGAGAGAATGTTTCATTCTAAGCAATCTTTTCACGCTTTTATTATTTATTTTTATTTGTTCTACTTAGTTGTTCATGACAGCTGGATACATTTCAATTCAACATGCACAAATAGAGCACAGTACTTCAATTCTCTGGTTGTACACGATGGGGAGATGTATCATTTGTGCAATCATACATGTACCTAAAGTAATGATGTCCATATCATTTCACCATCTTTCCTACCCACATATCTCCTCACCACCATCCCCTTTGCCCAATCCAAAGTTCCTCCATTTTTTCCCATGCCCTTCCCATCATAGATCAACATCCACTAATCAGAGAAAACATTCAGCCTTTAGTTTTTTGGAATTGGCACTTTGCTTAGCATAATATTCTCCAACTCCAACCATTTACCTGCAAATGCTATAATTTTATTCTCTTTTAATGCTAAGTAATATTCCATTATGTATATATATCACAGTTTCTTCATCCATTCATCTGTTGATGGGCATCTAGGTTGGTTCAACAGTTTAACTATTGTGAAGTCAGCTGCTATAAACATTGTTGTAGCTATAGTATGCTGAT